ATAAACAACATTTGCAGTTTGCTTTCCATCTACTAACAAAAAAAAATATTTTGAGGTAATCTCACCCTTGAACACCGTACAATTTCTGGGAATGTCTGTAAATATCATAACAGAAAGTCTGAATTTCTTTTTCTTTTGCTTTTTTTTATTACGTAATAACTCAAAACCAAAACAATGGTGTCAACCAATTTCACTGAGGTGAGATGGTTTTAAAAGGAACATCCATTTTTATAAGCATTATTAACTAGTAGTAATTATAAAAATAATAATAATTCTAGTGTAAACGATGTTATTAATACCCCTTGAAATTAGCGTTTTTACAAAAATTTGGTGTTCCTTTAAAAACGCTTAGATACAGGGGGAAAGAGGAATTACCAGCCAATAACACAGGCCTGTGAATTTAAACTTAATAAAAGTTGTTTTGGTTTTGTTAACGGATTTTCCATAATTCAGCTATGCAGATTTCGAAAATAATATTATTTTTTTTCTATCACATAAGGAGTTTTTTTACAAATCGGGAAGTGCCATCCCTACTATCTTGTTTGCATTATTTTTGAAGGATTGGTATTAGCCATCCCTACATTTATTTCCTTTTTTGAAAGTTTTCATTACTTATTTGCTTGTTTTTTAATGCAGTGTTTCAATAGACATAGGAAGGTTGTGTTTATAATACAATGAGGTTCCAACTGTAATATTTATTGTTTATCTATTACATAGGCCTCCAATGGTTTTATTGTCTTGAAATTTTTACATGTTCTACGATATCCCCTTTTCTCTATCGTGTACAGATTTTACGCAAAACGTCATAACGCAATACATAAAAGAAAGACCACAACACATAGTTTTGAAACTAAAAGACGTAAATTTCACGAAAAATATCAGGATGAATGAGGATGCATATTCGTTTGACATCAATGTTCTTCCCTTTTCTTCAGTTTGTTTGAATGTTTGTTAACAAACATTATAATAAAAATGTTCATTGTGTTAAACGAAATAATAATTTGATCTAAGTAAGAGTTTTTTCTTCTTGCATCATCCCTAAATAATATCACAGGCACACAGTGTAGTAGAATGTTAACAGACAAAAATAGGATAAATTAAACTCAATTATGATTGAATAATTATATATCTTGCTATATGTTAATTCTTATCTGTGCTATTATGTAAGGATGATGCAAACGCCCACCTTGCTATCTTGTTTGCATTGTTTTGAAGTATTTATATTAGCCATCCCTACATTTACTTCCTTTCCTGAAAAGTGTTTTTTCTTTACTTATATACTTAGCTCCTTGATATACGTGGAAATTTGGCTTTACATTTCGATTTAATATTTAGACTTCCGAAAATCTAGCTACGTATGATAAAGGTAATTGTTTATTGTTTATTTATTTTTAGTTAAGCACAAAGCTACACAATGGGCTATCTGTGCTCTGCCAACCACGGGTATCGAAACCCGGATTCTAGCGTTGTAAGTCCGCAGACACACCTCTGTGCCACTGGGGGGCGATAAAGGTAGTTAAAAATGATGCTAGCGTTCAGATAGTCTTTCCAATTTAAAAGTTTCATTCTTAGTTGAAAATTGAAAATTCTGTAAAACAAATTTTAGAATATCATTCATGTAATAAAATAAAACCAAAACCAATAGTTTGAGTGTATAAATATTAACAAAATAAATTTTAAAATATCATTCATATTACAAAATACAACCAAAACCAGTAATTTGAATGTATAAATATTAACACAACAAATTTTCTTTAAAATTTAGAAAAATGGTCGCTATTCCTTGAAATCCAATTGAGTATTCACTGCTAAGTGAAGTTTGTAGAGTAAAACTAAATAATTTTTTCACTGTTATACACAATATCAATTTAACGTTTCTAGTTTTATTTTTGATATTCGCTATATATATATATATTAATGTAAATGTTTTCTAAATACAATGACAACACTCCTAAAAACAGTTTCTTTTCCATGAGATAACGCCACATAATGCTCAAAGAATGAGTTGGTTGAAGAGTCATTTTAAGTTTAATTACAATTTATTACTATATTTTAAAGAAACAAAACTATGTTTCACACATGACTATATATTAATATGTCTTGTAAAAATATCTTTCCGTTGATAAAATTGTTACGATTCAATGCAGAATAGTTTTAGTAATTATGAAACAAATTGATTATTCCACGAAAAGTGTATGATAGAGTAATAGTCAGATAGTAAACCAGAATGTTTACCTACAAGGAACGTAAACCTATCTCGATGACGAAAATATTTATCTGACTCATATCATGAAATAATTTGAATATTATCTTAATAGCTTAGCTGTTCTATTAAACAACAAATGAAGCAGTAATTTGTTCATAGATTAATACAATTTATCTTCATATTTCTTTCTCACTAAAGTGTTCATAAATTACAAGTAATGATAGTCACGTTAGATGCTGAAACGTTAATGATGTAGCTATGGAAACGTTATTAAAGGAACCTTATAAACCTAATGAAGATTCAGGACGTTATTGAGGAGAGATGGAAGACTGTAAAATTATACATATTTCTAATATTTTATCTTGCTCTACTGACGTGACCAGGAAATGACCACAAAAAAAAGTTCAATAATTGCATTAATTGAAGAATTCAAATGAGCAATTCTGACCGGGATGGACAAGATGCTTTAAGTATGGTCAAGTCTATTAATCTTGAATACTGCAGTTAATTTGTTGTTTTTTTAGTCAGATTTCAGTCCACTGGCTACTACAGAGCGTTTGGTATGTTTCCAAGTCTAGTGTTCACCTTGGAAAGAGACAACTGAAATTTTAGGATTTGAAACCAAAATGTATGTTTTCGAATTATGCTTTCTAAAGTTTCAGTTAGAAGGACACTTGAATCTAATCATCGATTTTTTCTTTAATTGTTTAAGTGCTTGTTCTATTTATTTATTCTGTTCATACAGTGAAAGAATTGCTCATGTTTTATAACTGACCAAAGTCCAAGCTTTTTCGGTTCACTGATTTGCTGTACTGAAACAGACATGAGACGAGACCTCGCGTGATACGGTGTATAACCTAGATCAATTAACTCAATGTTGATGGTTAAGTATTACAGAGAACTGCAGTTAGCTTGTGGTGGATTACTTGACAAATATAGAAGGTGTTCTACTGGTAAGAAGACTACCTTTAATGAACATGAAAACTTTTGTTTTTTATCTGAGGGAAAATTTGGAATGTTTTGGGTGAATTATCAATATATACACGATAATGTTTGGGTGAATTATCAATATATACACAATAATTTTTGGGTCAATTATCAATATATACACGATAATT